ATCCTATATTTCTGAATCCTGGACAGTGTTGTAAACCAACGTTACCTTAATATAACTGTATTAAAAATAATTTTTAAAATTCCATAAATCTGGAAATTACTGGTATAAAAATAAAATCTAAATTTAACAAAATGTGCAAAATTCGTACTACACACACATAATAGAGTAGTGAGTTTTGAGCCACATTAGACCACTGTATGCTTGCATTCTCTATTGGTTGCTTTTCCTGTGTTATTTCAAAACCCCAACCAATTCTGCTAATTAAGCTCTCCCTGGCCGTAAGCTCACTTGGATCCCTGACAGTCCCTAGTTGAAGCCTAGTTTGTAGTTTTTGACGGCAAACCAAGATCCTCTTGTTTGCTTCAAGAAAACTGTCTAGTTTTAGTGCCTGGAATAATTTTAGTGATATCCTCATCCTAACAAGTCACCAGTGCTCTTGACTATGATTTACAACTGTGCCAGATTTTTCTCGATCTCTTTGTTTGATACAGGTAGCGGCTGCAGTAGTAGTAATGAAATTGTTAGCTTGGTTTTCATTTATCTTGGAAATAGGAAAAAAGGGTATATTAAGATGATAATGTAAGAGCAAAAACAACTAATTCAAATTGATTGAATTAACATGTGTTTTGGGGTGTATATTTTGATTCTTCCATGTATTGCTTAATGTTCATAACTCAGAAAATTAAAGACACCCTAGTGGCATTTTATGAATGAAATGGTTAAAAGGTTTTTTTTTTTTCTGAAAATGGTACTTGATGCCACTATTTAGTATGTCGTATTTACAATTTTACTTATTTTTGTTGACATATTTGGAAGTGGGAAAAGAGGTTGAGACAGAACCTTACATACTTTTATTATTAAATCTACTTCATTTCCCTCTCTGTGACTCCTCCCCAAGAAAAGAAAGGGTCTAAGAATTTCCACCTGCCTGACATGTTTGTAAGTCTTCAAGTACTTTGATTTCACAAATGTAGTAACTAGTGTTTGTAACTCTGACCCTCTTAAGGAGCCCAAAAACTGAGCTGGAAGGGAAATCACAAAACCTTGCAAAAAAAAAAAAAAAAAAAACCCCACACAACCCGTTAGAAGTTATGGTCTATTGGTGTCACTTAACTAAAACTCCTCAGTCTGTGACCTTGAGAAACCTAGCTGCTAACTAACAGGAGTACTATATTGAAGTTCATCCCCTCCATCACTACCCAAAAAGGGGTGCAAATATTCTTCTGAACAGGTAAGTGTTTTTACAATGATGGCAGATGGTGATTGAAGCAAAGGCAATTCAAAGGGGAGACACGCGAAAGCAATAATTTTGAATGTTTGACATTTGTTTTGAAACTACCTTACTACCCTATACCCTTTACCATCTGTCTGTTACCCCTCCCAACACCCACCTCTGCCTTCCCACAGGGCTGCATTGTCTGCAGTTCCTGTTTCTCAGGGGCGGAGCTGTGGGAGGCAGCCATGGGTGCCATAATAGGCACCTGCGGCCAGCACAATGGGCTGTGGGTGCTTGTGGGAGAGACAGATTGATGTATTGTGCATGGGGGAGGAGGGCTGTCACTTGAATCCATGTGAACCCAGGCTTTAGGGGCAAGGGAGATTGACAGCTTTTGTAGGTTGCATTTCTTTTTCAAAGCTTGGCTTTAATAGACAGTAAGTTTGGGGCCCCAGGCTTTCACTCCCATAATTCTAACAGGGCAATCACGAGCATTCAGCATTTCTTTTTACCCCCCTTGTTACGCATTAAATGATTTCAGTAAAGGAATGTGCAGCATTAATTAGAATTTGTTAGCAGATACCAAGGGGAAAAGTTTCTTCACAACAACTATAGGAGGTGTCATTTGTACAAAGACTTTTTTGTTTTCTTTCCCCATTACATTATCACTGCAATATGTAAGGTAGTGATTCTTTTCATTTAAATTAAGTGGAAAGCTACTAAATCTTGTTTTATTCTCCAAAAAGAATAAGGTCCTTAACACTTATCTTTTAACTTCTTTCATTTCCTAAGGTTGGTGTTTACTTTTGCTTTCAGTCGGACCCATTTACAGATCTGTGTGGTTGTGTATCCAGTTTTGTGAACCATTTAGCTCTTACAATTACAGGCAACCCACTATTGCTACGTAAAGATTGTTTCAGGTGAAAATAGCTACCAATAATATTGAAAATCATTGATACGTGGGGCCCTGTTCCATAGGGTATACTGGGAAATGCCAAGAATGAGGTTTGTGTCCTAATATATTTCCTAAAACTATTTTTGCCCCTAATTGATATTTAACCTTAGCCATGATATCAAATTTAGGGAACAATGGGACAGTGGCCAGGGAATATTTTTTCCCATAGAAAACTTATTCCTGAACCAAGTCAGTTTTTTTAAACATCAGAATCCACTTGCTCCACATTCCCCCAGCATCATTCCTTACAGCTGGTGAAAATGATCTTAGTTTTGTTTTGAGTTGATTTGATTTTGTATTCCTTTTTTTTTTTTTAATTCCTGTCCCCTTTAGACTGATATAAGAGCAAAATTAATCTCAGGATAGCTTATCAACACAGTTTTGGCCATTTGAGGAACTGATAAAACATTAACATTTTTGGGTGTGATTTTTTAAATATCTCCCCCACATAAAATCACTTTGTGGTAGGACTTGAAGGCTCACTGAATTAGAATTTTCCGTTCAATTGTTTTATTTCACCATGTTAAGGGCAACAGTGAAAAATACTGATTGTGTACTATTATTTCTGAGAAAGAACATATTCCCACACAGTTGTCTGGCTCTGTCTATAATAATAATAATTTGGTGCAGCAGTGCTAAAAGTAGTGGGGTGATAATAATTAGGGTGTGCGACACAGAAATTTCAATGCTGGATTCAACATTTCACCACGCAGGGCATGAAAATTGCCGACCAGGGCTAGTCAGCTCTAAGTACTAATTAACTAATTAATCAGGTGCTGAAACCAACTGAATGGAGGATACCAGCCAGACAACTCCAGCCCAAGCCCAGGGTTGTGCTCTTTTCAAAGACAGTGCGGTCTTTCTTCTTGGTTTTTAACCAATCAAAAATGAGGGGAGAAATAGGATATGGTGTCCTAATGTCAGTCATTTCAGTCCAAGCTTTTTACTTAGAGAAACTGAAATGCAAACATGCACCTCTACCTCTGATCATAAGCAGGAGGCACCTTGTGGAGGACAATCCTGAAATCTCTGGCAAACCCCTAACTCCTTGGCCATGAACTAGTTCACGTGTGTGTGTGTGTGTGTGTGTGTGTGTGTGTGTGTGTTGTGGGGCTCTGCGTTCTTGTAGTTTTCTTCTCCAATATTTTTTTAACACAGGAGAATGAGAAACATGTCTCCTTTTGGGCTGATCTTAGGTCTTTCCCCTCATCCCTCCTTCATGTAAATGAGGAGAGTCCAATTACACATATAGAAAAAGGGTTTAATGAATCGTGAAAAAGCCGGGTTCACAGAGAAAGGGCACAATTCCCTCTTCTTCTTTCCTTTTATATTTAACTTCGAAACATGTATTTCTTTTAAGGGAGATGATAAAGCTGAATGATTAGATCATTTTATTTTATATACTCATTTTCACACTTGGGCATTCTCAAAGTTCACTTGCTAGAAGATTTAACTATTTTTGTAAGGCTTCCTGGAGACTGTGGCAAATATTCTGCAAGGAAAACAGCAGCATTCTAACTTTCCTACCTAAATTAAAAAAAAAAATGTTCGTGCATCCCATTTTTTGATATTATTCTTAGGGAGTGGAAATTTTTCTTCTGTTAGCACAGCTTGTTCTTAATTGTGTGCACTGAAACGGGGTGGGAGTGTGACGAGGGGATTCCCCCTTGTGTCAGGGACGCGCCTCCAGCCCGCTGCACCGCGTTCGCCTGACGCTGGCGCGAGGACGGTGTTGTCACCGGCTGGGAGCCGGGGGTGCTGGCAGTGGTGTTGTCTGTGCTAAGGCACTGAATGTTACCGTGGAGCACAAAGTCCTGGGCGTGCGTTGCCTGCTGCCTTTCCCCTTGCTCGCTCGGTCGTGGACTTCTCGGTGGTGGCCAGTGGACCGCACTGAGAGAACAGCCCCTCGCCCCATCTTTTTTTAAATGACAAAAAAAAAAAAAAGCCGGCAGGAGCACTAAGGGGAAATAAAACTCGACCCCCTTTGTGACCATCCGCCTTAGAATGTCCTGCGAACACCAGGGGCCCGGAGAGAGGGGCGCCGCTGGGACGGCGGGACGTTCTGCACCCCCGGCCGCAGGCGCGTTCGGGAGGCCTCGCCCCACGTCCTCGCTGGGCAGCGGGGGAAACTGAGGCCTCAGAGGCGAAGGGGGGGCGGGGAGGAGGCAGGCCCGCCGGCCGCGACGCCCCCTCCCCGCCCGCCCCGAGGAGCGCGGCTTCCCCGGGGCGGCCCCCGCGCGCGGGCCCGGCTAGCGGCGGGGCCGCGGGGCCGCGATCTTTCCCCTCTCGCCCCCGGCCTTCCCGGATCGGCGCCCTGGATGTGATCGACACCACCGAGTGGCCCCATAATCCTCTCCGGCAAGCGAGGCTGCACAGTTTGCTCAGCTCATTGGCTGAAGCCGCCAAGTCGCCCAAATGTGTGAAAAAGGGGCCAAGCGGTAGGCGAGCGCCGCGTGGAGGCCGCGCTCCCGCGCCCCCGGCTGTTCCCGGGCGGCGCGCGGCGGGCGGCGGCGGCGCGGCGGCGGCGGCGGGGAGGCCGCGGCGCCCGGGGGGGTGCGGCGCGGCGGCCCGCGGGGCCGGAAGGGAAGGGCCGGGAAGGGGCGCGCGGCGGCGGCGGCGGGGCCGGCGGGGCGGGGCGGGGCGGCCTGGCGGCGCGCGGAGCCGTTGGCCTCGGGCCCCGCCGCCCGCGCCACCGCCCGCCGGCGCGCGCGGAGGAGGCGGCGGCCGCGGCCGGAGGAGGGGCGCGCCGAGCCGGAGGGGCGCGGCGCTGGGGGAGCCCGAGTGGGCGGCGGCGGCGCGGCGAGCGGCCGGCGGCGGCGGCGGCGGAGGATGGAGCCGCCGCCGCAGGAGGGCGAGGCCGAGGTGGCGGGCCTGGTTCTCCAAGTGGGAGCGCCAGTGCCTGGCCGAGGCCGAGCAGGAGAGCGCAGCTGCCCCCGGAGCTGCAGGAGGAGGCGGCGGGGCCCCAGAGCGAGCGGCAGCGGCTGTGGCACCTCTTCCAGATCTCCGCCACCGCCGTGGCCCAGCTCTACAAGGATGCGGCGGCCCTCAGCCCGGCGCTCCGTGTGGGACCCCTTCCAGCATGCGGCCATGGCCGTCACCAGCCTCTACAAGGAGAGCGGGGACGCCCACCAGCGAAGTTTCGACCTGGGCGTCCAGGTGGGCTGCCAGCGCCGCATCAAGGATGTGCTGGAGTGGGTGAAGAAGGGCCGAAGCACCATTCTGCGCGAGGACCTCATCAGCTTCCTGTGTGGCAAAGCGCCCCCCGCGCCCCCGCCCCCCTCGCGCCCCTCCAGGGTGCCCCCCAAGCCGCTCGCAGGGCCCCCGGCCAGGCCGCGGCCCCGGAGTCCAGCTCGTCGGTGGACGTCGACCTGCAGCCCTTCACGAGGCCATCGCGCTGCATGGCCTCAGCGGCGCCATGGCCAGCATCAGCGTAAGATCGGGGGCGCCCGGCTCCCCACCGCCGGTCAGCGGGCAGCCGGCGGGGGCCGCCGAAAAAGTAGCTGCTTGGAGGACGACTTGAACCCCTTCGACTCAGAAGAACTGGGCCAACGCCCGGACAGTGGGGGGACCCGCAAACGCCCTTCGGCCCAGTGCGGGGACGGCATCTCGGACTCCCCCAACCACAAGCGCAACCGTTTGGTGTGAACCGCCACGTGGGCGCCGGCCGCCACCTTGCTTGCCCTTCCGCGCGTGCGTGAGGAGCGCCACACCGACTGTTCCTTCTCTAAGTTAAACAAAGTTTTCTATCTCGTCTGCCACAAAGAAACTGAAAGTATTCCAGTCCTGGTGTGACTCTGACCTCCCCCGCCCCCAGTCAGATCGTAGCCGAAAACAAGTATCCTGTAGTAGCTAGCGGGATCGTTTCAAACAAGTTTCCAGTCAAGACGGGAGCCTGGTTTCTCTTGTTCAGTTATACTCCTTAGCATCCAGCCCAGTCGCTGGTGCTCAATAAATGTTTGTTGAATGAAGAAATGTGACCTTATTTAAAAGTCTTAGAGGGGAAGGACTGGCAGGCGTTCACTTGCTTATGGCATACTTTGACTCTTGATCGTTCGCGTTTGCTTTAACCATTTTTTGCCAGTTGGATCACGTAGAATTCAGATGTGAAATTTGACATCTTGGTGAAAGTTGGAGTCTCTTGTTCTTTTACTCCACTCTAAGGCGCACCTCATTTCTAGAAAGAAACCGTGAATTCGAAAGAATTCATATTAGACTAGGAGGTTTGCTTTGTTTTTAAAGTTGATGATTTTGGTGATTATATGGTGATATGGTGAGGTGCTTGATGGTTGGACAGGTAATACCTTCTGTTGACTTACTTCCACGTTCTTTTTGGGACTGCGCCAAAGGTCGGGATCCTGACAGCAGAAGTGGGTTCCTGGTAACACAGTGGTGGTCCATTTTGTTAGCGATGTGAAAAGTTCTATTTTCTGAGGGGCTATCTTTTGGAGTGTTTTGTAGTGGAAGATGAAGTCATCAAAATGAACTGGGTTTTATTTCAGGGTACAACATGGTAGAACTAGGCGCATGAGCATTGTATTAAGAAGATCCACCGTAGAATCCTAGCCCCATAAATTCACTGCATGGTTTTGGGCAAATCACTTGATGTCTGTTGACCGCAGTTTGTAATCAGTAAAGTGGAACAGTGTGACTCCTAGGCTCCTTGTGAGCAGAAGATGACATCTGCATTTCCTGTAAGCTAGCGTAGTGCTTGAGCTCTAAAGGTACTCAATAAATGCTCTCCCTTATTGAGAAATAAAAATCAGTAAAATATTAAAATTGATAATATTTTAGGAAAAGCAGGAAGATAGATCAAGTTAGACATCAGAAAGTAGGATCTCTGAGCTGGAAAGTACTCTTAAATAATTGAAATTTGCCGAAAATCCCAGATCTTGTTATTAATTATTTGTTGAGTTCATGACTACTCAGGATCACCACTCTGGATATTAAGGCAGCCTTGCAGTTTCTGGAAAGCAGTTGTATCAAGGGATACAATTTGCAGCACAGTGTAAGGAAAGATTTACCTCTTCTGGCCTGAAAGTATATGGCAACAGTGGGTGGAAGAGTGAAAAGGATTTGGAAGTAAAATTCCTGGGGATTCCTGGAAGGTTATAGTGGTTCAGCATCGAGGTGGGGTGGAGTGGAGGTAATGAGAGAGGTAGAGGGGATGGAGTGGGGATGCAGAGGTAGGGCTCGGATTACTGATGGGGGGGGTGTGGGTTAGAAGGTCGAAATCTCCCCAAACTGAGCACCTAAATTGTTAGAGATACCTGAGTAATATCTTGCCTTTAGGTTCCTATCGGAATTGTTTCTGCTTCATCAGTGTGGCCTTTGGTGTTTGATTTTTAATTGACTAATACATTAAAGTAACAATATAAGGTGAATTCCATGATAGAATAAAAAGTCACCCTCCGGGCATTCCACAAGTACTTAATGAGGCACTGTGCTAGGGTCTGAGGAGGGTTATAAAACGACAACACTGGAACAACCCTTCCCCTCCACACGCTCTGCTTTGGAAGAGAAAGGAATATAGTCAAAAAAGCACTTGTAATTGTATGTGAAGCACCCAAGGGCTATACAGAAGAATTCAGGACAGGGTCCTCCTGGCCAAGGAGGTGTCATATGAATGGGGCTCAGAGATGTGGGTAGGAGAGGAGGGTGGGGGGATATCGAATCAAGGAAGGAAGAAAGCAGTAAGAAGTTCCAGGGGATCACAGGCGCTAGGTGTGGAAGCTAGGCTCAAGGTATAGAGGATCTCCAATGCCTGGCTCAGTACGCTAGATTCTGTGTGGGTGCAGGGACGGATGCTGCCAACCTGTGCCTTAGGCAAGTTGGTCTGGCAGGGCGCTAGGTACTGGAGCAGGGACAGCCCAGGGCAGTAGGTGCCCTTTCCTGGGCACATGGCCCCGTGCTTTACAGGGTGGTGGGGCTGTTTGCCTCCACAGGGCTTGTTTCCTGACACCCTCCCACACCTGCAACCACACGGGGCGAAAGCCCCTCCGGCAGGTGTACTGCTCAGCTTTTTTTTTTTTTTTCAAAGATTTAGGAAGGCATACAAGAACTGGGGTACGGGCCAGAGGTGAGGGGGCATGGTGAGAGGATTCACCAGAGAGAGTGGGGAGCAGAACAGGCAGATCTACTGAAATACACTGCTGAGGGGAGCAGCAGGAGAGTCAGGAGAGGTCTGCTGGGTTGCTTCCTGGCCTGCCAGGGATCCTGGATTGAACTGGTGCTGCAGTGGCTGGTGATAGCTTGATAGCGCTGTTTTTAACCCCTGCATCACCAGGGAGGCCTCTGCTCAGCTTCTTGAAGTCCTAGAAAGCCTTTGATTCCAGGCACTTTTGGAATTGACCAGTCTTGAAGAATGAAATCAAGCCGCGCATGATGTCGTTCTTCCTGCTTCTTGTGCTTCGTCCAGTGGAGTCATTGGGGTGTCCGGGGCTCCGGGACTGCCTGAGCATCGGCAGCAATTGAAACAGGTAGGTAGGAGAGTTGTAAGAGGGCATGTGGGTAGAGGGCAGGGACGTCTGTTGTAACCCCCAGTGCCTGGCCCAAAGCCATGTGGGCACATAGTAAATGCTATTAAACAGGTGGAAGAGTGAGCCCCCGCCCAGACCGGAGAACAGTTACTCCACTCCTTTTCTGTTTACTTATTGCCCAGGCAAGGCAGTAAAGGGATGTAGATGATCACCCCCTGCATCCCTTTACCCCCTATTCCTAATTCTTAGATTCAGCTTTTTGCACAGACTGGTTAGTCCCTTGACCACCTCCCTTGAGAATCCCCTGAGTTGCTGGCAGCGTTGGAACCACTCTCCAGGTGAATTAAAATCTAAGTGGAGGGACCCTCACAGCCTCCTGCCTTCTGGAGGGGTCTTATGACTGTGACTCACAGCGAAGCCTGAAACCCAAGTGACCCAACTGTGAAATTTGTGATTGATTCAAAGGAGCTAATTTTATTTTATTTATATATATATTTTTAATTTTTATATTCCCCATACAATTGCACCTCCCTTATTTTGACCCCTATCTCTCTTTTCCCCGCCCCCCCCCCCATAGTGTGTCTCTGGTTTATAGTTGTTTGTTGATTTTGATTTTTTCTGCATGGGTGGTTCCCTGGTAGAATTCTCGCCTGCCATGTGGGAGGCCCGGGTTTGGTTCCTGGCCCATGCAGCAGGACATCCTCTTCGATCATGCTCAGCAAAATAAGCCAGAAAGAAAAAGAAAAATAGTGAATGGTCTCACTCATAGCAGGAATCTAGAAAAACTAAATAAGGGACCAGGAAAAAGAATAACTATAAGAAAGGAGCTAATTTTAAATGGATCTATTGATAAACTTTCTGTGCAGGCTTAAACTGACTCTCCCCATATGGACATACTATCTTTAAAAAACGTTGCTTTTAATTGAAGTAACATTGGTTGAAAATGTTTTGTAGATTTCAGGTGTGTGGCATTATCACGGACATCAGAATGTGCTACATTGTGAACCCACCAAAAGTCTAGTTTCCATTCACCTCCATACAGTTGACCTGTAAGAGTTTACTTTTGTTGGTTTGTTCATTTGTTCCTTTATCTTCCAAATAGGAATGAAATATATGGTGTTTGTCTTTTTCTGTCCCACTCATTTAGAAATACTGCAAGATCCAGCTATTTCACTTTTGGGTATTTACTAATATTTACTAATACACAGAGATACCCCTCTGTTCATTGCAGCATTATTTTCAATAGCCAAGCTATGGAAACAACCCAAATGCTCATCAATAGATGAATGGATAAAGAAATGTAGTATACAGACACAATGAAATATTATTCAGCTATAACAAATGGTGAAATCCTGCCAGTTTTGACAACACAGGTGGACCTAGAGGGTGTTATACTAGGTGAAATAAGTCAGGCAGAGAAAGACTTACTATAAATATCTCTATTCATCACTTGCCTATTTCATACAGTTTCCTTCTAAAAATGCAGATGAGAAGACAGGCAAAAACTTAAATGAAATTTCCTTAGGTATAATTGACATACAGTATGTTAGTTTCAGGTGTGCAACATAATGATTTGACATTTGTATACTTTGAACTGATCACAATAAATCTTGATAACATCCATCACCACACCTAATTATGAAAACATTCTTTTCTTGTGATGAGGATTTTAAGATGTAGTCATTAGCAACTTTCAAATATGCAATACGGTAGAATGAACTATAGTCAGCATACTGTACATTACATCCCCGTGACTTATTTATTTTCAAAATGGGAGTTTATACATGTTGACCCTCCTCACACATTTTACCCAACCCCAACCCACCTTTGACTTTTCTCTTTGTGTTCTATCAGCTTCCCCACCACTAGATTGCACCTATAAACGGTATTTGTCTTTCTCTGTCTGACTTATTTTACTTAGCACAATGTCTTTGAAGTCTATACATGTTGCAAGTGGCAAGATTTCTTTTTTTTTAATATTTATTTATTTATGCATACAAGAATTAGGGTATAAGCAAGAGGTGCGGGGAGTGATAGGATTCACCAGAGACAGAGTGGGGAGCAGAACAGGCGAATCTACTGAAATACACTGCTGAGGGGAGCAGCAGGTGAGTCAGGAGAGGTCTGCTGTGCCATGTGGATTGCTCCCTGGCTGGCCAGGGATCAAACTCATGCTGCAGAGGCTGGTGATAGCTTGGGAGTGCTGTCTTTAACCACAGTTCCACTAGGGAGGCCTGATTTCTTTCTTTTTTGTGGTTGAATAATATTCCATCACACACAGGCCACTTTATGCCACATTTTCTTCTACAGGAGCTCAAGAAAATGCTCTATTTCTTAACCTCTGAGAATTTTATCCACTAGATCTTGGCTTCCTAATCAAAATTATTAATTGCAAGTTAGGAAGAATTGTAATCAGATTACTTTGCCTTCTATGATATGATGATGGCGTCGGGGTTGGGGAGCATTGTTTGGGTCAGTGTACTGGTTTCAGATCTCAGTGTTTGATCTTCTAATAGCAATATGCATGGTGGTGTTCTTCCCAAATGCAAAGCCAGAGGGGATCTTA